AGGAAGCAGACACAAGCAGAAGCAGCTACCCTCCATGTAGCCTCATGTAACGTCACCATGAGCACTCACGAGGCTCCACCACAGCAACCTAGACCAATCACCTCCTAAAAACACCTTCCAGACGGTGCTGATAAGCTGGTCTGAGACACAAACATTAAATTCTGTCTTCTATAGTCAGGACTGTGTGATTTTTGAATGCTGAATAAATTCCTTGGTTCTACAGTCAGACCCAGAATTCCCGAGAGGCTTCACTGAATCCCCCTCTTTTTTCCTTACTGGAAATGCAGATAGAAAGAGGAGATCTTCCATCTGCTGATTTGCTCCCCAAGTGGCCACAACTGGCTGGAGCTGAGCCGATCCAAAGCCAGGAGCCACAAACTTTCTCTAGGTTTCACATGTTGGTACAGGATCCCAAGGCTTTGGGCTGTCTTTGACTGCTTTCCCAGGTCACAAACAGGGAGCTGGACAGGAAGTGGGGCTGCCAGGCCACGAACTGGTGACTACATGGGATCCTGGGATGCACAAGACAAGGACTTTAGCCACTAAGCTACCATGCCGGGCTCAACCCCTGACTTTTAATGAATATTCTCATGGCAAGGCTTAACACAAAACCAAGAGATACAGTTTTGGCTGCTGGGTCAGGGTTTCTGAAAACACTTATCAGGAACAAATGCCAACACAGCTAGAAGAAGATACAAAATGTATACCATTTCAAGGGACTTGCTTTACCTACTAGGCTTGTACCCAAAACCATTGCGCATGTCTCTTTTGCAAAGGGTTGTTTTGAGGATTAAATATAATAGCATAGAAAACTACATACCAGTACTAATCGGCTCCTCTCAGGAAAATGGCCAGCTTCTTCTTCAGCAAAGAGGTTTGTATTGCAAAGCCTATGTCATTGATAAAGGTTGTTATTAATATGATTACTACAATAAAATTACAATTAGTATTACGGCCATTTCTCATAGCAATGGAATTTTGTCACTATTTATTGAACTTAATAAACTTCTCAAATTATTCTTTACAAAATGAGAACAGTTTGCTTGGAAGTAAATTTTAAATTCCCATTTATCCTGAGAGTATTACATAATAGTAATCACTGAGTATAAACACTAAAACAGAAATATACCATATCATCTTTTTACATCTATTTTTTTTTAATAGATTTGCAAGGTTGGCATGGTGGTATAGCAGGTCAATCCTCCACCTAGGTGCTACTGGTCTGGTTCTGACTACCCCACTTCCCAGCTGACTCCCTGTTTATGGTCTGGGACAGCAGTGGAGGATGATTCAAGTCCTCGAGCTCCTGAACCCACATGGGAGACCAGGAAGAAGCTCTTGGCTTCTGGCTTCACACTGGCTCAGCTCTAACGACTGGTCATTTGTAGAGTGAACCAGCAGCTCAAAGACTGCTCACTCCCACTTCCTCTCTGTAATTCTGCTTTTTAAACCAACAATAAATAAATCTCTAAAAGAGGTGAAAAAATTCTGTTCATTATAAGTAAAGGAAGTATTAGCTCTTTAAGTTCTATCTAACGACAGTGCATTTCCTTAAATCATGACTACTCAACATTTGGAAGTCCTTAGTAATTCTTTGAAGCCAAGTAACTTTCTAAACATGGGGAATATCATCATAAATTTAACAAATTCTAGTCACAGATGTTAATTACTGTCCTTATCTATTCTTTATGACCAAGAACAGAAAACTATAGACCTGAGGCCTCTCTCTCTTTAAAACAACCTCCTGCTGTGGCAGGGGCTTTCTATAATATCTTTAACAAACCTTGCTTTGCTTACTAATAAAAAAAAAGGCAGAACTGTATCTTCAATAAGAATAGATTATCTTGAAACACTTAACAAAAAATAGTCCTATAAAAAAACAAAGACCTACTCTGAATTTTATAACTAAAGCATGTATTTATTAAGGTCAATAAAATAGAACAATGCAATTTTTAATTTGTTATAATAAATTAGGGGTAAGCAATACTGCACTGGGACCGCCTAAAGTATACTTTGATATCAACCAAAATAGCCATCTAATTTATGAAATATCCTTAAGCTATCTTAAAATCTTTGTAAATATTTTCATAATATCTATACACTCAAGATTTCTGCATACCAGTTAACCACACACTCTGGAATTGGCATACCCAATTTTCTGATCAGAAGTTTTTCTGATGAGTACTTTTATCATTCAGTGTTAGTTCAATTCATGGAAAATCCTATGTTATCTGACTAAACACTTTGTCGTAAATCATGCATTTGTCTTGGGAGGCATCTATGATCTATATTTGGCTTAGCAAACTTCAGCACAGGTCAAATCCAGGCCACCAAACATATTTTTGGTATATAAAGTTATATTGGAACAGTTACTTTCATTCATTTCTTTGACAACAGAATTGAGGGGGACCATATGGTCCTCAAAACCTGAAAAAAAAAAAAAAAACCACCAAAATCTAAAATATGTACTCTCTAGCTTTTTACAAAGTTTACTGATCTCTGATCTAAAGAATAACAAGCAATGAACGTGTGTTAACGGATCCCTAAACAAACAAACAAACAAACAAAATAAACCTTTTCACTCCAAAAGCCTCAAAGGCATTAATATGCTCTAAAGGCATACAACAATGAAGTGTATTTAGCATTGGCAATGTTATATTAGTGAGGATGCCATGCAAGAGATCAAAAGAAATCAACTGTACAGATCACCTACCACTAGATTTCAGTTTAATCACTTCTATATATTCAACTTAGTCTTTTTGAATAGGTCTGATTCCTGGGTGAAGGCAGCGGAGATCACAAAACATCTTGATCAGTTTCATGTAACTCAGCCCATCCATACCGTTATCTGACAAAGCATTTTACTGCAAGTTTTGGTCTTCACTCCAACTCTACCAGCAATTGCTCAAGAAAAAGTTAAGTCATGAAATTAAATCAAATAAAGAATGCACTTATTCACATATAGCTATAGAGAAAAATATAAATAGTAAACTCCTCATACCACTTACCCTAAACGGGTCACACAGAGGTACTCACAATAAAAGGAACTCAGATCATACATTTTAAGTATTTTCTATTCTCATGACTTTCATCTGAAGTACATACTTGTGCATGTTTAAAATGAAAACTATCAAACATAATCAGACCTGAAAAAATGTGTCCATAAATTCAGCTCCTACATCAATACATACTTTTGCATGTTTAAAGTAAGCTTAAAGAAGTATGAAACACATACTCACCATTATAGGCGTATAATCCAATGAGTTTTAACAAACGTAGTTATATAACCACAAATATAACGAACAGCAAATCAGCTCCGAAGTCCCTTCCAACCAAACTCCCAGCAACAATAGATATGCTTTATAACATTACAACTTTGCATTTTTTCTAGGTTTTCAGGTAAATGCACTGAGAATACAAGATGCTGCCATATTTTTTTCTGAAATAACTTAACCAGTATGTCATTAACTAAAGTTCAATATTTGCCCATAAATTTTTAACTTTCAGTGAAAGTTACACATAACACATAAACCTTTAGTGGACACGTGCTGCACTTTGACAAAATCAAAGATCCATGCAGCTTAAACCTCTTGTCCTAAAGCAGAAATTCCCCTCACGTCCTGTGACAATCTCTAATTTCCAATACAGATAGCCAGAGAATTTTTTCTCTCCCTCTCAAACTTTCACTCTACTGAAACTTTGTGAAATCATGTATGTACTGTTTGTGGTTTCTTTTACTCAGCATGTTTTGAGAAGGTTCTTTAACAGTGAGTGGCATCCCATTTTATGCTTATGCTATACTTTGTGCATCGTTAAGTAACACTGATAGGAGGCCACCTGTTTGGACCAAGTTTCTGTGTTAGGCCCAAGAGAAAAGCTGATAATGCAGTTACACCTAATTCCATGTCAACATAATGAAAATGTTCCCACTCCTCAGGCGAACAAAGAAAGAGGATTATTAACCAAACTCCCAAACACATCAGTTTTAGTTGGCATGATGAAACTCCCTCATCTCTAATTCTTAAGTTTTTAAATGACCAAACTGCTTTTTTGTTCTATTCAGCTCTTCTCTGTGAAGTCAATCTTCTCTGCTCAGCTTATTAGAACCTCTGTTATTAAAGTGTTGCTCAACTCTAAAATTCAAGTCAAAGTCAGCTAAGGTCTATCCAAAACTCAACCTGCTGGAGTTTTGTCTTTGTCACCATTCTATCCACCTGCTACCTGGGCTGATGGGGACATATGTAGGCATAAAATTAATTAAGAAACCTCAAAACTTCTCAAAATGGCTCTATTATCTACAATTACACCAATGATGCTGACAATTCCAGTTGCCAACATCTCTGCAAACAGCTGGTGGGGGGTCACAATTTTGAAGCTTACATTTGTATCACGATCAGTTTTCTGTGTCCCTGGTACCTGGGCATGGCACATCTCTCCCAGGGGAAGCTACCTTACTTGGTCTGGGAAGTGGCCATCTATGACCAAAGCAGCTAGTTGTCCTCAATCCATGCAGCTCCACACCTTGTACTTTCCGCTAGGCGAGGCCATGTGACTCTGTTTACTTGTGAGCAGAAGCTAAGGCTATTGCCTTCAAATAGAAGCTATGAAAAGCAGGGTGCATGGCCTTTTCTTTCCGTTCTGTGGTTGGATGCAGACATGAGGGCCCTGAGAGGGAGCCTCAACACAGCCTCATACCTGTCACTTCATGTACAAAGCCCACTGACCTGATCACCCAGATTGGAACAAATAAGCAGGATCTCTGACACATATGGTGCCTGTCACATTAGGTTTGGTTCTATTTGCTACAGTTTAGCTCATCCTAAGCTGCTACCCATCTCCTGAAGGTCTCCCCTTCCCTCAAAGCAATCTTTTCATAAACAACGTAACCTGTAATTTAGCTCATATTCCCCAAAGCATACATCTATACAACTATTGTCACATGTTCAACTGACAAATTTCACATGAATAATGTATACACAAAGGATTTGCATCAGCCAAGGTTTTTCTCAAAATTTTATTGAAATATACCATATACACTCATATACAGGCACACATACACTTTGTGTATATAACACGTACATCTGAAGAAATGTACAAAGCTGTTAACATCTGGGACATTCCCTTCCTTTCCAGTTTCTTGCCCAGGGGACTGAGGAAGTCAAGGGAACCCTGAGTTCTGACAAGTCCGCATAAGTGCTGTGAACCAAAGCTAGATCAACCAGGACACAATCCTAAGGTGCCACCTGTGGCTTTTGTTGTTTTTCCTTTTAAAAGTTTTTTTTTTTTTTTTTTTTTTTTTAGTTTTTAAGATAAAGCAAGATATAAAACAGGTAGGAAACAATGTGGAAAAAAAAAATAAATAAAAAGCAAAACCTACACTATCCCCTTTCCCAGGGCAATTTGAGACTCCAGGGTTGCTGTCAGTTACTAGCCTACATTCCTTCTGCGCTAAATTAGAAAAAACTACTCCTTTAAAATCATCCCTTTCCCAAGTTGCTTTACTTCCACCTGATATGTATAGCAGTATGACTATACAGTTTAGTTAGAAAAATAACACTTTCCTGTGCCACTTGCAGGATAGGAGTCCCAGATGAGTGGCGTTGTTCTATTCTGGGCAACCTGCATGTTTGCATTCGAAGCTTAGATTGCAGATCAAGTTACAGTGCTGATTTTTAAAAATCTGAAGTTCTTAAAATAAATAAAACAAAACCTCATAAAGTATAAAATACACATCTGATTAAAAAGATGTATCTGAAAATGTTTAAAAACCACCAGCTGGAGCAAAAATCTGACACGTTTACCATTTCAAAATCACATAAATACTGCAAGAGGCACCATAAAGAACAACAACAAAACCCAAAATTTGTACGGACCTGTAGGAACAGGGTAAAAGTAAGCAGTGTCATACACAAGATTTCAGCAGACAACGTGAAACCCTATGCAATCCTTAGAGAAAGCCTAAGGGGAGAGCTGACAGTTGGATCAATTTATTGCAGGAGTTTGTACAAAGTATTGATTAACGGGCTAACCTGCCATCATACTATTAAGGGGAATTTCAAGAATCTCAGTCATCAGACCTATTTCATGAAACAGAGGAGGCTAATCTAGCTAATTTAGGTATGACTGGAATACCTTATACATTTTACATGAATCCAACGTCAACTCAAAAGGTTAATTTAATAGAAACTTACTTTACTAGGAATAAAGGTCCTGGCAAAACACCAACTTAAAAAGAGTAAAAAAAGAAAAAAAATGACATCCCAGGGAATTAAACTGCATTAGAAAAGCCAGTCCAGTATCTGAGTGGTAAAGAACAGGACAGTATTAGAAAGAATAAAAAATAAGACAGTTCCACTACTAATAAGTGCTCATTCAGGATTATAGACTTTAAGAAAATACAAAAAAAAAAAAAAAAAAAAAGAAACAAGTGCACACGTTTGGAGAAGTGTCCTGGAAAGCAAGCACATCTGAAGTCACAAAACAGACTGAAGCCTGGAAGAAAAGATCGTGGCTGTGACCATCACAGCTTTGGCTGAAGAGCTAATCTCACGGGCAGAAGACAGACGCGACAGGTAAAGCCTGCCAAACATAGTGGTTTTCTCAAAGGCCACCTGGCATTCACGTTTTTTTTTTTTCCAATTCTGAAATCCCATATATACAAATCTATCCAGCTGTCAAATTTATTGTTCTACACTTGAAGGACATAAAAATGACAAACCTTTGTAGCGTATGTCAAAACTGCTGGGGATGTAAAACTACTAATCATGCACAGTAGGCATCAGCAGCTAGTCTTTTCCCCCTTTAAATGTACAGCAGCTGAACGTTGTGCCTTCAATGTGAACCAAGGTTAAAACATGTAATTTAGTTCAGCAATTTTTTTTCTGATAGTAAAGATTTCACAAGCATTGAGTAGTGCACCCTCACACGATTACAGAAATACTCCACCTTAACTTCCAGCTCATGAAAAAATCAAAAGCCATGAAAATAAGTGTAGGCACATTTCCTATAATGTGCAGGAAAAATCCAATTCTGGCCAACTCCAATTATGTCTTAAAGGTATAGTGTACTAAAACATAATACACTATAAAGCAGTTCCAAGTGTAACTGCCACAATTTTGATTCCAGTAGGTCTATTTCAACATTCACTCTCAGGTTAAACCATCACCTTTAAGAAACTTGCTGTATCTTCTAACAGTATAAGAAAATTATCCAAAACTCCAAAACAAGCAGCAGCATGGTTTCCTTAAAAGCAGTATTTACTGGCCTTCAAAGGTGTTTGTTGTATCATGAGCTAAACATTTACAGCAGTTCTCCCTGAAAAAACAAAAATGATCCTTCGTATACACAATTAGAATCAAGGATCAAAAACATGTTCCTTCTTTTCTTAACAATCCTCTTACATTTTGAGTGGAACAGATGATCTTAAAATATTATGCATATTGTACAGTGAGCTTTTTGCTACTCTCTAATCAGAAAGCAAACCAATTTAAAAGTGGTAAAAATTATGAGGTTAGTTTGCCTAGAGGAAGCACTGTTGTCTGAAAGTGTTAATTTCTCTCCACTAGAATACCTAAGAGGAAAATATTAGTACTACTTCCTTGCCTGACCAATAATTTATTATTTTCTATATTCTTAAATAGAGGCCTTGGAAGTCACATAAATTAAGTCCAAAAGGTTCTAATTTAAAAGGCATTAAAAATTATATTCATGAAAAACACCCTAGTTCCCAACTTGGTTTCTTTCGTATTAATCATAAACACTCCTTTATTTCAGAAGAGATCCGGGAATCATAAAAATTGGAGTTCCAACAGTCTTACAAATGTTTAGACATCCAGTAACTTATGATAAATGGTGCTTTTAGGGTACACAATGATGGCAGATCAAAGCCACCTTTTACCATGGGATACCCTGGAATAAACCAGAAACGCTGCCAGGAAGCCACAGGTGTTTATCACACAAACTGAGGAAAGCACATACTGAAGGCACACTGACAGTTATTCTCTGCCTCCACTAATGGACTGTAAGAGTAAAGGTTAACAGCATTATAAACACTATAATTATATAATATTAGGTTTCTCAGGCTTACAAAAAATAAAAACAAGACAAAACCCCACAAAAAAACCTTTTTTTTCCCTTGTAGTTCTGGGTTCTTGATAGGGTGCCAGTCACTGCCTCCTCACCAGAGCATTCAGCAGGCTTACAAAAGGATGTGCCCAAGACTGCCATCTAGTGGAAATGATAAAAATGGAAGTGATGGGGTGGTGGACTAGGATGAAAAAGTTGTCTAATAAGTTATAAACTAAAAATATACAGGAGGGGGCTGAACAGGTGGCTCATTCAAAACAGCAGTAAGAAATACTTAAAAGTATGGATCATACAAAGAAAACTAACTATACTGGGGGCATTTAGTTCTGCAATTCTAAACAAAGAAAATGTAAGTTTATGGCAGCAGGTATAGGGCATAATAAAAAAAGTTACAAGGAAGGGTTGTACAAGATTTCTGGAAGATACTAGTAAGTTCTAGTTACATCAAGAATTTGTAAATGCTTAAGGCCAAAGTTATAAAAAAAAAAATGTACTTACTCATAATGTGAAAAAATTGTCTGTATATGCAACTGAAGGTTGATGAAACTGTTAAAGAAAATGATAAAATTCTAAAACTTCTGATTTAAAACACTTCTAGAAATTCATCTTAACACTTAAAATCTTAGCAGATTATAATTCTTGACAGAAAACTATACAAATTCTACCATATTTATTTGGAGACAGACACCCTTCCACCTTCTAGTTTATTATCCAAATTGCATCAAAAGCCAGCTCATCAAGTCAGACAGGAAACAACTCCACCTGGGCCTCCTATGTGGTTGGCAGGGTCTTAGGTACTTGAGTCATCGTGCGCCACCTTCGGCGCATTAGCAGGGAGCAGCCAAGGCTCAGATGGCACTCGGATATGCGATGCTGGCATGGAAAGTAACAGCCTACCTGCTGCAATGCAATACCAGCTTGCCATCTCCAAATTTTAAAGGTTGTAAGGAAGAAAGGCAGTATTTTTGGCCAAAGGAGAGCTATCTGAACTTCATGCAGAATATTTCAACTAAGTGAATAGGAGGTTCCTATTCTGCATGAAGGAAAAGCTGGCACTTGAAGAAAGGTATTAGTAAGATAAAGTACAAGACGCACGTGTAAATTGAGGGGGAAACCTATGATGTTGAGATTGTGATTTTCTTAAGAATGCGAAAACCTCAGTAAGGTTAAATGCCTTTTGTTCAATCCACAATATACTACATTTAAAAGTAACAACAAACCATTATTAGTCTTATAGTACTGAAAGTCAAGATAGTGAACTGAGAAATGTCACTCATGATACACACAGAATAATGCTCAATTTTCTAGAAAGTATTCTTACATGTCAGCAAAAGTTATAAATGCAGTAACAAAAATAAGCAACATGTATAAACAGATTTTTATGACAAGAACTAGTCAAATATTTTTTTAAAATTCACTAATAACCATTATATAATTGAAAATCAAATCAAGAAAGTATAAAACATTTAATCTACCAGACAGGCTATGTTTAAGACTGGTTTGAAAAAAAAAGGGGGGGGCGGTTTAGGGAGAGAATAAAGCATTTTTTTTAACATTGACATTGTAAGCAAGTACTCATCTTGACAATTCAAGACAAAGTGAATTTATTTCTGTATTTATTTTTAATCCAAAAGTTTACGAAGAATTCAGAGTTACAGACTTTACTACACATACAAAATCACCAGAATAATGAGTAAAAAGCAAAAAACCATTTCTGCTTGGCATTTAGGATTAATAGTAATTCTTAATGACATTAGCATTTGATTATGAACTTTCCTGCAGAAAACGTAGGTAAAATAGTATGATTCAATAAACAAAATTTAGCTGCCCAACATAAAGTGCTCTCCCCTCAACTCTCAAATGATTTTCTATAATACTCAAGATCAAACTAATTTAAAGATACACATGGAGCCAATTTAGACGAATGTGAGAATGATCTCATTTTGACAAATGAGATCAATGGAGCAGGTACAACCTTGTGGCTAGAATGCCAGCATCTCCCAAGCCAGCAATAGTGGCTCCAGTTACTGGGTTCCTAAACCCTATAGGGAAGACCTGGATGTAGCTCCCTGCTGTGGCATGGCCCATACCACTGCAGACAAACCAAACAATAAATGAGATTTCTTTCCCATCTCAAAAACATTTAGAACCAACTGCCTAGGTAACTGGACTAAGGCTAACCATACTATAAAACATCATACACCACATGAATTCCACTGATTTGAAGCTGAAGCTAACAGGAGGAATCAGAGTTGCAGGTAACTAGCCAGGCCAGTCAAAAACATCTAAAACTTCAAATTCAAGTAACACATGTAAATTCTTGAGTAAACACAACACAATGACTTGAGACTTCCACTGGCCAAAAAACAAAGACTGGGTGTCAAGCTGTAAATTCTGCATTGGACATCTACACCTGCATGAAACCTCAGTCCTTACTGTTCAAAAAATAGAGAAAGCTAACAAAATCAGCACACTGCTCTTTATTATCATCTTTGTAATAGTTGAAAGTCCTGTCCCTAACTGGACACCTTGGATTTTAGTAGTAAAAAAAAAAAGTCATGTTTATTTAAGATATGATTTTAAAAACTCAACTTTTAACAGGCCTTTTCAAAAAAAACACAATTATGGAGCCATAACTAAAAGATTGAACAATCTGAATATCATCAATTAACAATTATGGAATAAGATAATCTTGATGTAAGTCAGAAAATCACATACAATATGCATTCCCATGAATTTTATGAAACCACCACATGTATTATTCCATGTGTTTTGGCAAGAAAACATTCTCCATGCATATTTTCATGCAACCTCATATATGCATACGAAAATCAAACCCTATTAAACTTAACCTTAAATCTCATGGTTTTATTAAAACACATCACAGGACTGTTTACTTGGTTTTCAAAGTTCAGCTGTTAAAATGACCCATTCCTTTCCCCCAACACACACCCAGAACATTTTGTAAAAATTAAACCTCTACCTTAAAATTCATTTACTATTATTACATTGTGATACTTGGGACAAATGAACACACTATAGATCTGCCCAAAAGGAAGACAAAGGTTGAGAGGGGCTCCAAAAAACCTTTCAGGTTCTCAACCTGCTGTCGTTTGCCCCATGGAAGAAGCCTCAGTAGGAACCAAGGAAAGTGACATCACTGTAACTACGCAGCACTGACCATCCTTACTGCCACAATCAGCCAGCTTCAGTTATCATGGCCTAGACCTCTCCCGTGCTATGGGTTGAGCTGTCACCAGAAGCCATTTTAAAGAAATGATTGACATACTACAGGTACTCATCAGACACTTTTTCTAAAATAAACAAAATGAGCCTATCGCTTAAGCAAAACAATTGACAATATTTGTTGCCAATGATACAACTTTGGCTTTCAAGGGAAAAAAAAAATCAGAATTTTTGAAAAATCTGTATCCATCATCATGAACTTGACAGGTTTCCAATATTAAAAAAATTTTTTGCAAGATCAGTTTTATTAACAAAAAACCTTTAATTGTTGCATAGTAACATAACAATATTCAGAAGAACTACATAACTCAGCACACCGGTATTCTCCAGATGACCAATTTGTGCTTTTACAAAATCACACACTGGTAGAAAACCCATTTAAAATGCAAGGTAGCCCCAATGGATTTTAACAGTAAAAATAGTTTGTTATTAATCTTTATTAAAAGCTTCAGATTTCACATTGCAATGAACCTTGGAGAGCAAAGAGTTGTCAAGCTGATATTCATAATTACTTGAAGATATTAAAATACTCCTTACTTTTCCAACCACATATCTGCACGAGGCCAGATTTCTCCACACATTTAACCAACATAGCCACTGCGACAGACTGAATGTAGCTCATAGGAAGACCCAGTCCAACACGAACACATTTGCATAAATGAAAAGCAGTGCCACTTTCTTACACAACTTTTAGATCTAGAAAACTGCTTTTCATAAAATCAGTGTTATTCATGTTAACATGTAAGTTACCTGCTAATTAGAACAGTATGATAAAATTTCTGCTTTAATTTTTAATATATATAAATGGGACCTAAGATCAAAATGTTTGAGAAGAGTAAGATTCAGGAATTCAGATGGATGAATACTAAACACGGGTCTGTCATTTGCTACCTCATGTATTATTTGTACTTCAAGATAACTAACTCCCCAGAAAAAGGCAGATCCCCCCCACCATGTTAAATTGTAGAGTAAAAAAAAATCTGAAATACAGAAGGGGTTCATTTATATTACCTCATACAGTTTGATCAATTCCTCCTTGGAGTTAGAATTCAATTAAATGGTAAATGGTTTTTTTAAGAAAGCTTTCTCAAGTATGCTAATTACACAAGATGTTTTAAACTAACATTCCAATCTGTGCTATTTTCAAAAACTGTATCAAATAGTAATATGTCACACTGTTTTTAAAATCAATTCTTTATTTAGGTAACAGGTTGGTTATGCTCACTGCATTGTATGAAACATCACAATATCTTACTGAAAAGGTACTAGCAGTACAGGTTTGGATCAGGTGGACAGCTGGAACAATAAACCATTTTGCATTCTTCAATCCTTATCCTTTAACACCCAGCAGTAAGGGACAAATAGCTTTTAACATCATTATATAAAGCACTTTAACTTACAAGGCTAAAATCTAAGAATAAATAAAATATATTGTGGCAATAATTCCTTTTAGACCAAAAATCAGGTGCACAAAAAAAATATATCGAACGATCAGGAAAGCTGCTTGTGTTCTATCGTGTGGTTCTCCAGAAACAGCTTCGGGCAAATGTTACAGAAAATACTGTGAATTCCATTTCACACAGGACCAGGCGATGACTCATTTTAACTACACAGAAGGGCAATTACATCCTGCTGAAACACAACTGAAACATATAGGAAAAAGTTTACAAAGCATCCTCAACATGTAAATCATGTACAAATGGATACATTCATTATTTCTCCTAGCCCAGTAACTTCTTGTAGATAAATTACACTCTTCATGTTCAGCATTAACTAGATTTAATACATGCAAAACTCAAAAAACTTCAAGAACCCAAGGTTACTGTAAAAATAGAACTAATAATCTTCAAGTACCTTATGTGACAGCCACTCTGTACCGTGCCCAATGTTAGAAAATGAAAGGTTTACTGAACCCATGAAAATATCTCTGTAATATTTCCTTAGATCTAAAATAGATAATTTTAAATGTATTTATAATCATTTTCAATGTGATATTGAGCCTTTAAAATAACAATCAAAATTTATACCAAATTACACAAAACTTTTATCTTAAAAGCTGAAAAATTAAAACTATAGAAACCCACATGTAAAGTAAAAATCACAATTTACAGTATAAAGGCAAATGTCATCATTTAAAAGAATCTGCAGCAGTGAGATGTTAAAGCAAATTATAAGTAGCCATAAATTAATCCATTTGGTTTCAAAAATTTCTTGTGAGAGTTGAAGGATGTAGTAGATAACATGCACAAAATCCATAAGGGTTTATATTATTGCCAAATACACTATCTTGAAGCAAGGCAACATTACAATTTGGACATTATTGGGAGAACCCAGTTTGGTAATACAGGTAAAATTGGAAAAAATTAAATAACAATTAATAATAAATACATATCCTATAGTAGATAGCTCAAACAAAATTCCAGGCCACAGAGCTGCAAAAGACTTCCAACTTGGTGAATGGAAAGAAAGAACAGGTCAGACAATTCTATACTGTTACATGCTTATATGTTTGTGTGTTTTGTTAAAAAAACAAACAAACAATGTTTCTTCAGAGTATAGCTAACTATATTCCCATGCACCTCAAGCACATTTGTTGATTTGTGTAAAATAACTCCACTGGTTTCTAGGGCCAGAAGTTCAATACAGATGTAATAGGTATGCCTGAGGCTGGCAAAAAATACTGTATAACAGGCAATGCTACAAATGGCAATTATCAGAAAACACAAATATGAACAAATGATGGGAACTGCTAATGATTTTCTGCTCATGTATCACAAAACGTTGGGAATCCACAAGAGTATTTTTCCCTTGTATTGAAGAAATTTGTGATTAAAAGTTTTTTCCCCAATTTTCAGAATCAAAAGCATTTTTAGAAGGTTTATAAGGCTACCATGGGTCTTCTAGATCTCCAGCACCCTACAGGAAGAGAAAAGGAAGAATATTATTATTTACCTGTACTACTTCTAGGACGGATTGAATTTCAAAAGAAATCAAAATTAAATGATCAAATTACCTTCCTTTTCTTTGTCTGAAAAGGCACTTTTACAGAGATGTGTGTCATTGTACACTGTGTGTTTACATATGCATCTATTTAATACAGATAGACAAAAATGGTTGGATTTTTCCCCCCTTCCCTCTCCACCAAATGCTTTGTATTTCTCAAAACATTCAAAAATATTCTGGCATTGAAAACATAGGTCAAAACATCAGCTACAACATTTGAAAATTCCAAATTTCCAATTATGGCATCTTAATTTCAGACATGTTATATAAAATATTAACATAAAAGAAGGTTAGTGTTCTACATTAATAAAAATAACTTAAAATATTCTGATTAATTGCCATCTATAATTCTATTATTGCTTTACAACTCTCATCTGTTTTTAAAAAGATCATAATTCCTATATGTATTAATAATGAACACCTAAAATTGATATATTAAGATTTATAATGCTCATATGGCAATTTTTTTCATGTCTACATGTGCTCATAATGTCCAAAGAACAAAATTTTATACCACAAAATAACATATGAAAAAGACTAGCTCTACTTTGAGTAACAAAACTTTTGTTTAATATTAATTTTTTCTCTTCTGTTTATGAAAAAAACCTATGCCAAAGTGTGAAAAATTTTAAATAAATACAAATTTCAAAGGTGTATATTTCCAATATCCCAAGCCTATTTATTTTAAAAAAAGTTTAAAAATAAGTACAACATGCATAGATTATTCCACATCACATGCTTTATTTGGATGTAAACACTTAGAATTTCATTCTAAACACTTGATTCACATACATTTTGATGTGTATGGTTAGACTATACAGAATATACAAACCAAAGAAGTATGAATAATACACAGGTTTTCAAAAACTGTTTCATAAAGAATACAGAGAAAGGAAAAGTAATCACACTTCAAGTATCTCACAATTTCTAAAACTAGAGATATGAAATATAAACAAATCAAACAACAAAGTATCATTCTTGAAAGAAAAATTACAAATCAGCATCATTCATTGAAGAACTAAAATTATGAAAGAAAACAAATCATAAAGCTAATTATGAATGTACTGTTGTGTAAAATAATATGAAGCAATAATTCTACAGTAACAAGTTTTTCATAAAATATTGCAATCTCTATAATCAGTACTCTCTAATCCTACAGAGTATGAATTTAACTGGCTTTAATAACTGGTAGCCTAACTTCAGGCTACCAGTGTGAAATGATAAAATTTTAATCAAATTCAAAGATACTAGAGTCAATTTAAAACTCTCATAAAGGTGTATGCAAAGGCCTTTTTAAAATCAAGGCTATATCAACGTAAGAAAACTAGTTTTCCAAGATTCAAATAACAAAACAGTTATATATAAATGCATACATTATATTTTCTAAGGAAAAACCATCAAACCAAAGATCACAAAAATAACATCAAAAAGAAGTCATATTTTTTCAGCACTCGTGTGCGTCCCTGCATCTTCGTTAGAGCTGTCTAAGTCAGCACCACCCCTTTCAGGGTCAGAATGACTCTCCTGCATTGTCACCGGGTCTCCAGCATCACTGTTTGAAGCAGCAGCAGCAGCAGCTGGGTCAGCTGGGCCTTCTTCTCCCTCTACTTTAGCTAGCCTGTAACTAGTCAGCATCTCCTCCAGAAGTTGTCGGTAGTTTCCCCTATGATTAATTCTCATTTGCCTGAGCGCTTCCACCAATTTTCCCTGTGATCCACCTTCCTTTGCTTCATCGGAGGCCTTTTTTAAGATTCAAGACCCCAGTGTCAGTAGACAAACTAGGATATCACACTTATGTCAATAATTTACAGCAAAACACTAATTTCTCTTATCATAAGTAATATAGTCTAAGCATGAAAACATTAATCTATGAATAAAGTATCAAATCTTACCTGTGTCAATTAACAAAACTTCTAAATATAGCATCTCAAAAGTTACCTTTAGCAAATTACCATTATGTTGTTCAAGCTTATTCAAAGTTTAATCTGCAACTTCCTATGCTTTAGAACTTAACAGCACCACAAGCATTTCCTAAAAGTGACTAACTAGGAAAAACAGCAATTGGCTACAATGAGTTATTAAAAACAGAAATTAAATGCTGAGTGACAGGAAAAGGACAGAAGAGCAAGCCACAGAACATTAGATTCTGATTCATTTCTGCTAAGTAGTAAGACAGAAGACAGAAAATGTAACCTACATAAACACAGACTATATACTTTGGCAATATTTTAAAGATTTTGTGGATAAAATTTTATTTAAGCCCTGAAACAGCGTTTTAGTTTAAAACTAAAAAAAAGTATCTTAGCAGCACAAGTTGTAACCACTAATCACTCAAGCTGATCACAGACTGATAAAATGACAACTATAAATACTTCCTGATATGCTATATTATGAAGAACAGAGTCATCATTTTTCATATTCTAGCCAAACCATTCATGCCAATTTTGAGTTTTTATGAAAACGGAAACACAGGATCAACTTCATGGATACCACGAGAAAAAGCAATCATATGAATTCAGAATGTAGGACATCAGTAAAAAATTTAGTTCAGACTCTTCAAAATCGGTGTCAAGAAACAGAAAAAAAAAAAGATGGGGAATGGAATTTGATTAGAGACTTGTTAAATGTGCTTGACTGATGATTCAGTCTCATTAAACCAGGATTCAAAAGAACAATTTTAACAGAACTTTCAGGAATAACTGGGTAAATTTGTGCTTCATGTAAGAAGACATTAAGGCACTTATTTTCCTAGGCCTGAGAAGGATACTCTGACTCCAGGAAATCTCATTCTCTTGCTGAAAGGCTTTTGGGGACAATATTATGCCTGCAATTTGCTTTCAAATGATTCAGTTAAGAAAAATAGGGCATACATGCACACGTAAGATAAAATATTTATGGTAAATGTCAAAAATTGCTTAATCTAAGTAGAATGCATATAAGTATTTACCCTCATTATAAGATCCCAATTTTTTAATGTATCTTAAAAGCTATCATCATAAAAGAATGGGAAAACAAAATGCAGAGAGTGACACTGAGGATGTAACAAAACTCTTAAGCATCTTTGTAATCCCATATTTTATAATTATGAAGCAAAGGTAACACAAATAAAAACAATAATATTTATTGGAAAAATGAGAACACTTGCCAAAAGCAGGAAATTATATAAGCAAAGCCTGTGTGCTTTGGGATATGTAAAATGCCTGAAGTGAAATGAAATGTTTATATAAAACGATGATAGGTAGTGAATAATTGTTTCCTTTAAATTTTCAAAAAAAACTTAAATTACCCTTTTGTAAAGTTTGCTATGTTTTAGGAACACAAGTGTGCTATTAAGACTTTTCCTATTTCCCCTCATTTGTCTTCCTATTCTAAAAATAAAATGTCTCCCCGAATAAAATTTCTTACTTAAATGTAGTCATGAAATATTAAAATGGAATAGGGAGATGAGTGCATTCTAATAAAAAAAAAAAAACTTACTCAGTCTTTAACTGGATCTTCCATAAGGAAATATTCTACCTTGTGGCATATTACAAAGACCTGATCTTGGGCAGCTCAAGACACTCCTCAAAGTGAAAACCCAAGACAAACATAGGGTCCTTTCAATTAAAAGAGTGTCCATAGGATGGCAAACAAATCTGCTTCTAATACACAGCTGTCTTGTGCATAAGAAGTGATTATCAATCTTAATGCAACATCAGAATCACCCACGAAGCTTTCTACATTATATATAGGTACCAGAATTCTACTTCTGGAAAAGCAGGTTAAGAAAATCTGGACTTTTTCTTTTTAAAAAGCCTGACAGGTAATTCTGATATACAACCAGGGTTGACAACACAGATTAATTACTATTAGTCTATTTGGAGGTATATTCTTGATAATGTTGGATCAAAAAACTTGCATTTGAGTATGTTTTGGTGGTTTCAGGATAAAAAAAAAAGCAGCTCCTCCTTCAACTGACACCTTTATTATTACAACAATCATTTGTATTTAACGAATTTCCTCTTGTGGCGATGGTCTGAGGAAGACTACAGATTTCTTTAGACAAAATACAATCAAACCTTTATAATGGCTGGCATCACAATCACTGAATTGAACTTCAGCTAATGATATCATCTAAAAGTCACTTTATCTAAAGGCAAATCATATTTTCCCAAAAAAAATATTACAGCAAAATATACTTTCCTGATTGTGTACTGCATAATGGACGACTAAAATCTTGTGTTCAACCACTACACTGAACCATTACACATGGGACACCAGGATGCAGTTGCTGCTTCCAGCCTGGCCAAATCTGTTGTGTGTAGTCATTTAGAGAATGAACTAACGGAGTGCAGACCTCTAACTCTGCCTTTCAAATAATAATAAACTATTAAAACAAATACTATAAATATCAGCAAAGTAACCTATTGTCTGGGTTCTTGCACTTTCTTTACCTTAACTCATAAAGATAATATCTGCACATCTATTATTATACAGCTATTATGACAATTAACTCCACTTGCAACTAACCACAGGCCCCTTCAATTAGACTGTAAATTCTTTGAGAGTTTGGACAATTTCATGTTATTTTCCATATCCTTCTATAACTAATATTCTTTTGTTTTGCACAATTTTTTTTTAAATTTGCGCTAAGAATTGTACATACACAATCTCACTTAAGCCTTTTATTTAAGCCATCATTTTTACAAGACAGGTAACTAAGGTTCATAAATTTAACATTATCTGTATATATAGACTAGTTAAAAGGTATCCGCAGTCCTAAAAACTATAATATAAAACATAAAGCAGCTATCTACTACACTGATATGTTTACAGTAAAGCAGAAAAGACTGCATATGCAATTTAATGTGATGAGGCTATGGAACAAAATAAATAAATTAAAAAAAATTTTTTTAAAAAGAGGCTATGGAAATCCTTTGGGTTTTTGTCTATGTCTTCATAATTCTTTTTGTTACTTACTTTGTTGTTGTTTAGTTTAATTTATTTTTTGCTTTTAAAAAGAATTACCTTGTTATTTGTATTGGAAAATCAGATTTTCAGAGAGGAGGAAAGACAGAAAAAGATTTTCTGCCCACTGGTGCACTCCCCAAATGGATGTAATGGCTGTAACTGAGCCAATCTGAAGCCAGGAGCCTCCTCTGGGTCTCCCCTATGGGTGCCGGATCCCAAGGCTTTGGCCATCCTCAATTGCTTTCCCAGGCCACAAGCAGAGTTGGAAGGGAAGTGGAGCAGGCTGGACACGAACCAGCACCCATGTGGGATCCCAGCTCATGCAAGGTGAGGATTTTAGCTATTGGGCTACCACGCCAGGCCCTGTCTCCACTATTCTATAGCCCCTATGTGCAACAGTCTTCTCTTCCAAAACAAAACAAAAACCCCCAAACACTTTTTATTTGATCTTAGCTAAATGGCCGAGATGCAATCAAATAAATTTAGGGTTACTCTATATTTTTTTACACCTTGTTTTAAGTAAAAACGTACCATGTTAATGGGTTGAAAAATTCGGCAAGAAATCAAATTATATCCTGGTGATATACTTTGAAACATTAAGAAACTGTGATGTTTCTTTGGCTAGTCTGAATTAAAAATATCCAGCGTAGTAATCAAAGTAGCAACTATTGCTTAGAATCTATGATTTAGCTGAGGAGCAATTCTGCCTCTCAAATTATCCACATTATTTTAGTTATGTCAATAACCTATACACATTTGCTTGATTAGGTTTCTCTAAATGATTAGAGAGGTTCCTCCCCCTCAAGGAATGTGAATAGGAGATTAGAGATTTGCAGTGTAAACCTATTTTTTTTCTCCCAGTGAGCTTCACTACTAAGTTTGGAAGTCCCCAGAAGATTTGGGGCATGCTTAATAAAAATTAGGCCATTCATTTTTAGATGTCCAGAAACTTGCAAACCTTATGAGAAAAGGCTTATATTTGAATTACCGTTAAACTAAATATAATTAGAAAAGTCATTTTTTCTGTCTCCTGGTACTAATACAAAAACAGAACAATATATAAAGGAACAGTTAGTAGCTCATTAGTATCTCTATGGAAAACAGAGAAGAAGGAATGGAGATAAGAGCTTTGTTCTAAGTACCACAGGGTAAAACAAAACTGGTCATTTCAGTTCAGTTCAATACAATATTAGATGTTCGAATGAGGCACACAGGTGAACTGCAAGGAACGACTACTAGAATAATCACTGTCACTGGTATCAGGCCAGCAGAGAAACAAATCAACACAATCTTGCTTCAAAGTTACGGCTTAAAGGAAGAAGCGGAAGGAAGGGCAGACATACTGGGAAAAAGCAAGGACAGCCCAAATAAAAGATCACTGGATACCAACAAAGTGGACAATAACATGGATGTTTATATCTATCTACAGCTCAATAAATTTCCTTAAACTTTTAATGAACTCTTTAAAATGAAAGCAATAATAACCTAAGCAACTTCATACAGTGAACATAATCAAACTCAAGTATTTTTATTGTTAAATTACTTCAAATGATTAGGAAGTAAAATAAAACTTACCCCATCACTTTCTCTATGTGGATTCAGTCTACTATAAACAGCTTCAATAACATTGCGTCTAAAAAACATTATGTTTTTGTTTTATTACATAATTTTAACTCATGGTACTTTAAATACTTTAATTACACTACAAAATTAACAGTCACACAAATTCTGCAAAGGATACTATTTCTACCTTTCACTCATAATTTGATCTTGCACAACCTATTTATTATCAATTAACAAAGAAGGTACCTTCATCCTTAAAATGTATGATAATTTCTTTTTAAAAAAAATTTTGGATGAAGTTTTGGAATTCTTCTATAGTATTCAAAACATCAACCCATTTCATCTAAGGATAACTGACATACTTCTAACTTCTTACCAAATTATTAAGTTACTATTTATAAATGAACTCAAAATGAGCTCTACTTACTTGCCAGCAAGACCTCCTCCAGGAGGCAAATTTGGGATATTTTCTGCAGACAAGATGCGCATGACATGGGCAAGATCAGGCGTTCCTTCCTCACCAGATTTCTCCATAATTTCTGCAGGTTAAAAAAATTTTTTCCCTAAGTCAATGGGATAACTCAGTCTTCACAAAGTAAACAACAAGTACTATTTGGTAGTAGCTATTTTAGACTAAATCAATAAAAATTACTGCAACAAGGAGTGAAAAAGTAATAGTTCTTTTCATAAAGACATTCGTGTCACCATTATTCATAAAAAAAAAAAAAAACAGAGCAAACTAACAGTAAGAAGAGAGTTAAGAAAATTTCAGTATAGCTCAAAGAATAAAACATATAATCATTAAAAAATAAAATTTTCTAAACACAGTAATAGGTAAGTGGGAAAAACATTTTTACTTAAGTGAAAATAAACATAATATGGAAATTCCCAGAAAACAAAAATGACTGGACAGATAATAAATAGAGGGAAAATAAAAATCAATTTTTAGGTTTTGTGAATACTTAAATTGATTTTCTTCTTTTTTTTCATATTTAAAATACAGGAAAATAATCATAGCATTCACTAGTGCTTAAAACAAAATCATTCTCGGTGGGTCCCAGGTTGGGGCCGTCTTCATGCTTGGAGCCCTGATTCCAGCCACCGCATGCACGTACACATGGTGAGCTGCCACCGGGCCTGCCCAAGCTCCAGAGGCTGCTCCCTTCATGGTGAGTACACGGGGGTGGGGGGTGGGGAGGGTGGGGTGTGTGTCTGGAGAACTGGGCAGGCATGGGCCCCAGCCACTGTCATCATTGGGCGCTACATGAGATTGGGGAGGGGGCGACCTTGGGGTCTGGGGGTTAAAACTTGCTGGTGGGTGCCAGGCCAGGGCCATTGTCATACTCAAGAGCCCTAATTCCACCCACCGCTTAACCCTAGGGGAGAGCTTTGGGGTTTTAGTTCTTTGAATTGCTGCTTAGGTAGCTCCACTGTGAGCCCACTGTGCTTCTGGGATATGAATCAATCCTAAAGATTTCCAAAGACAGAGTAACTTTTCCTTTGAAGGTAAGCGAGGGTAATGTGACCTGGTAGGCCAGAGGAGAGGGACCAGATGATCTTTATGGATAACATTCATACACCAAACTCCATTAAATCCTGTGTAGAACTTGTAATCACTGAACCATACCGACCACCAAACACCAGCCCATGCAAAAGCTAAGGCTCAGGGCTTGTCTAGCAGGATCAAATCCTATTACCTGACATGATGATGGATCAGGAGACAGGTCACATTAGGCAGGGCCATGACATTAACTAGCACACGAGAGAATCATATCCAGGGGTAGATTCTGTGGGGGATGTGTGGGGCAAACCCCATGGAAATACTAGTCCCACTGGTTAGCTCAAGAGTTGTGGTAGTGATGGACTAAGCTAGGTGTGACCAAGGAACCTGCCAACACTCACAGATAAAGGAACTGACAACAGTCTGGACTGGTCAAGCCAGCAGCAGCCCAATGTGCATCCTGAATCGGGTGTGGGGTGTGCTGGGCTGCAACATTCACCAGTTCATACAAGGCCAAATGGAAGGCCAGACTTTGCCAGGCACTGGCCTAAAACCCACTGGCATGTATGAGAACTGGGTCTGGGAGTGGTCAAGTGGAGGAACTTGGGAAACTCCCCTGGCAGGTCATAGCTTCTGCTGGTGAACACATGATCCAGACCTGGAGGTCAGACAAGCTGGGCAAAGTAGCTCCAATGGCTGGCTAATGTGCAGATTGGTAATGGAATGGGGTAGACTGGACAAGGCCGAGCAAACCTTAGCCCACAAGCAAAATTAGAAATCAGGATGGAGTACAGGTTATGCCGAGGTAGGTTCTTGAACCTACCGGTCTGCATGAGCCAGGTATGCTAAGCAACAGCATATAAGGCAAAGGCCAAGACAGGTGAGGGGCTGTGCCAAGCTGAGTCAAGAGCAACCACTGGCATGCGCGTGATCTCTGGCTTAGACCAAGCCCAGTTGGGAAGCGAAGGGGACACTCTAGCTGGGTTGAGGTTCCCACCAAGGAGCACAAGGGCTGGAATGGGTGCTGTGTTCTTATCAGAATACGGTTGTAGTCTCCCTTGTGCAAGTATGGACTGGGACTGGACGCACCAAGCCGGGCTAGACTCCAACACCATCTGGTGCTCTGGAGGACCAGGGGAGATGTGGCATGGCCTAGGCTAGGTCTCTGCCCCTACTGAGCCATATGTGAACTATATGTGGGTGTTTTGGAGCATCTTCAAGGGCCCAAAAAGGCCTTTGTATTTTTTAATTGTTCTACTAAGGAAATGCTTAGAACAATCACTTGATGAACGAAGAATGTCTTTCCTTTACTTCTTAAAAAAAAAAAAAACAACAGAGTAGGTTTCTTACCTACAACCCGTGATTCCAAGTGTTTATCCAATTCTGAATCTTTCTTCACTGCTTCATCCGAGACCTTGGGGGCATTTGAAAAGCAAACTAGTACAATACTCATGTTATCTCGACTTCCCTGTATATTAAGAAAAAAGAAGAAAAATATTTTTAATAACTCAAGATTTTATTTACTCAAAACAGAGCTAATCAAGCAATTAGAAGTTTAGTATTTCAGAATATATATATTCAACACATTTAGTTTTATCCCAAAGAGCTTTTTAAAAAGCACAACCTGAACAAACAAGGTGTCTAGGGATGGGTAGGTGTATAGCTTATTTAGAGGTTTTAATTCAGCATAACTACTCTTATCTATCACCATTCCACAGCCTGAGAAATAAAGATATCTTCATACATATTAAGTCTTCCATGCTCTGTGTTTCACTCAGGATTATGTATTCCCACAGTGGCTTAGATCCAAAACGCAGCCTTTCAAACATGTGCAAATATTTTCCAGTTAATTAGCTTTCATTAGTGAAATGCCACAATTCTACTGAATTTAACATAGCTAAAAAAATTACTGATCAGCAGGATATGCAAGAAACTACTGAACAACAGCATGCAGGGAAGAGATATAGCTTCAAACAATGGAATAGAACTGGACAGTTGATATAACTGTACAGGTCAAGCAAAAACACATTAAAAATATGGAATATAGATACCGTGGACATTTCACAAAAAAAAAAAAAATCAAGCACCAGTTTTACACTAAAATTTTTAAGATTAGTTCACCTTATTTATTTTAAAGACAAAGATTTCTCACTCAGTAGCTTACTTCTCAAAAGCTCACAACAACTGAGGCTGGGCCAAGCCAAAGCCAGGAGTTAGGAATTTAAATCCAAGTCACCCACACGGGTGGCAAGGATTCAAACACTTGAACCATCCCTTGCTGCCTTCCAGCTTAGAGCTGGAACCAGGGACCAAGCCAGGACCCAAAGAGCAGCATCCCAACATGGGTTGTGAGAGTCTTAAGTGCCACCTTAACAGCTATACCAAATACATGCAGCTTAAATTTTTAAAAACAGTCTTCACACCCTGTACTTTTAGAAATCACTTCTTCTAACCAATTTCTACTTCACAGCATGGCATGAGCAGTAGTTAACATTTCATAGTCCACCATTTATATGGAATTTTGTACTATATTTTATTAGTCAAAAAGACAGATTCTATCACTTGGAAAATCAATAATAAGAGATTCAGGATGTTTACGTGCCTCCAAATACACTTAGAAAATTTAAATTTATATTCCATGCATGTGATTTTAATGTTGTTTGTCTTTCCATACAAAGACGACTCTTCAGTCATCTAAGTACAATGCATTATAGCTGTATACAGCAAGTGGAAAAGGTCCTTCCCTTTGTGCCTCTTCAGTTTCCTAGAGACAAAACATCCTTGCGTAATTCACATGTTTTTCATGAAGTCCAGAAATCAAACTTTAAAAAAAAGATTCCAGGTTTGACAACTAAACCCACTAATTACTTAAAATTTGATTATATTACAGTCTAATTTCTTTTTTACTGTTTACAAGTGGCACAGTTAATAGTGTAAGTAACTATAGCAAAAATAACTGATAGTAATAGATCAAAGAATTTACTGGTCCTGACATAAGGACATCTAAGTTGAAACAGAAAATAATTTGACAATACTTTGAAAATAATTTTAAAGTGAGTGTTGCATGATTACAAAGTGTCCAAGAACAAGTTCAATACAATATTTGAGGGAGCTTGTGAACAGACTCTACTATTGCCAAGGTTGGTGAATTAACATCTGATGGAAGTATCATTGATATTCATTTAAAAAACAATTTGTTCATCCTGGCACTCACTGTAGAGATAATTTACATATACCTCAGAAACCAGCTAAGCTCAAATAGATCATTTTCACCTACCCATGAAAAGTCAAAGCCTATTTCCTTACAAGAATTATATCTGCTCCCACCATTTTCTCATTCCTTTAAACTATTTTTACTTTATATAAATTTACACCTTTGTGTCATAGCCCTCAATGTAACATTTATTTTATAAATGCTTATTTTCCTCTACCAGAAAGGCAGAGAGACAGAGCACAAGAGAAAGCAAGATATTCCACTTTCTAATTCACATTCCAAATACCCGTTATCACCAGGACTGAACAAGGCCACAGCCAGGGGCTCAGAATTCCATTTGGGTCTCCTATGTGGCAAGGGCCCTAGTATTTGAGATATCACTATTCCATCTTAGGATGCAACAGGAAGCAAAACAGTTCAGACATGAACTGGCATACACATATGGGATGCAGAAGACACATGCAGCTTAACTTGCTATACAATCATGTCTACCTCCCAGTAAAATTTATTGAGGTCGATAAACCAGATTTGTTCAGGAACATATCAAGAACTTTGCTCTCAAAAACTCCACAAAGAAGTTACTATTGTCTTTCTAGTATGTAGTGAAATAGCATAGGGTAATGTGAAATCCAACTAAGTGTGGCTCCAAAGACTATGTTCTTAACATTAAATCCACGGCTCCCAAACAGCAAACCATGAAGCCAAAAGGTGTCACAGTGTGCTCACTGGCAATATTTTAAATAACAGTTATATTCAACTGTGTGAACATGCAATAACCTAGCATGAGGGAGTAGAGAGTTAACACTAGGTGCCATGTTCCTTTGAAGGTTTTTTGAAATTAAGGCTTTGGTGTTACTCTGATCAAAACAAAAAGCAACTCCCATAGCAACCAGCATGACATAGGAAATGAGGGTAGCAGTACTCACTGACCCCAGCATTTGAAAACAGTAAATTAGCAAATAACTGATTTGTTTCTTTGTGAGGTAGGGGAGGGGATCATTGCTTGGGATATTTGTAACTCAAATGGGAGTCCATGGTGTGAGTGTCCTGGCTACTCTGCTTCAGAGCTAGCTTCGTGTTACTGTGTATCCCCATGAGGTAGCAATGACTACTCAAATATCTGGGTCTGATTCACACACAATAAAGATCTGTATGGAGTTCTAAGCTCCTGGGAATGGACTGGTCTCATATTGGCTGTTGTGGATATTTGCTAAGTAAACAGAGGAAGATATTCATATCTGCCTTTGAAATAAAAGTGAAAATTAAAAAATTGTATGTGAGGAAAGAGATTTTTCACTCATTTTACTATCCAAATGCTTGCCACAGCCAAGGGCTACATTGGGTCAAAAAACCAGGAGCCACAAACTTCCACCTCCTGGTTCACATCCCAAGTGCAGGCAATGGCTGATCTGAAAACAGGAGGCAGGAGCTTCTTCCAGGTCTCCATGTGGGTGCCAGATCCCAAGGCTTTGGGCCATCCTCAACTGCTTTCCCAGGCCACAGGTAGGGAGCTGGAGAAGACGTGGAGCAGCCAGGACACAAACCAGTGGCCAGGTGGGGTCCTGGTGCTTGGGAGGAGGATTAGCCAAATGAGTCATCATACCAAGATGAGAATGACAATTTTTTACATGGACAGATATTCCTATTTTTGCTAGGACATACAGATCCATTAAACTTGGATCTACTAACTTAATATTTAGAACTACTAATAATTTTGACTAGCAGTACTACAAAAAAAATCATGAAACCCTATAATATGAGCCAAGAAAATATAGAAAAACCTTCTTTAGACTGTTTACATATACTGAAATTTTATAAACAATCCACCTCCAAATCCCAAAATATCCAACTACTCTTAATTCTGTATGTCTACTTTTGCATTATTTATTACTATCTTTCATAACTATAACCATGCTTTAAAAAATACAGGAAAGGTCCTTAATTTAGAATTAAATAATTTGAGCCTAGCACAATAGCCTAGTGACTAAAGTCCTTGCCTTGCACACGCCTGGGGATCCCATATCAGCTCCAGCTGTAATTCCAGCAGCTCCACTTCCCATCCAGCTCCCTGCTTGTGGCCTGGGAAAGCAGTCAAGGATGGCCCAAAGCCTTGGGACCCTGCTCCCAAGTGGGAGACCTAGAAAAAGCTCCTGGCTCCTGGCTTCAGATTGGCTTATTAGCTCTGGGAGCTGTGGCCACTTGGGGAGTAACACGTTAGGTGGAAGATCTTTCTCTCTGTCTTTCCTCTTTTCTGTATACATGACTTTCCAATACAAATAAATCTTAAAAAAATTAAATTCCTTGGTGGGTAGGATAATACAAACACCCTTTTGATGTCATAAAAATAATCTAAAATGACAGTGCTTTTGAAAACTATTGCCCTCAATTTCATCTACTACATAGGTACAATCTCACATTTTAAAATGAGCAGGCTTGGGATAGGCATTACAAAGTACCAAGTTATGCCACCACTGGGGATGTCAGGATCTCATATAGGCTCTGCTTACTGTCCTTGGTGTTCTACCTCCCATTCAGTTGCTCCACATTCAATTCAACTCTGTTAATCGTCTGGGAAAGCAACAGAAGATGACCTAAGTATTTTGGCTCTTACAACCCATGTAGGAATTCTGGATGCAGCTAAGCCTTTGGCCTAGACTAGCCTTTGGGGGAAGCGAACCAATGAATAGAAGAATTTTTTTTTTCTTTTGTAACAATAGATGCTGTCACTCCTCAAAAGGCATCTTGGCTGATACTGAAGAAAGAAATCTTAAAAGAAAAAAAAAAAAAAGCAAACAAAAAATAAGTTTCCAACAGGTGGCATTCAAACTTCAAAAGTCCAATATTACTTTAAAAGAACAATTTTAAAGAAATACTGGGGCCCAAGCAGTGGCCTAGTGGCTAAAGTCCTCGTCTGGAACGCACCAGGATCCCATATGAGCACTGGTTCTAATCCCAGCAGCTCCATTTCCCATCCAGCTCCCTGCCTGTGGCCTGGGAAAGCAGTGGAGGATGGCCCAAGGCTTTGGGACCCTGCACTCGTGTGGGATACCCGGAAGAGGTTCCTGGCTCTTGGCTCCGGATCAGCACAGCACTGGGTGTTGCGGTCACTTGGGGAGTGAATCATCGGACAGAAGATCTTCCTCTCTGTCTCTCCTCCTCTCTGTATATCTGACTTTGTAATAAAAATTAATGAATCTTTAAAAAAAAAAAAATACTGGCTTTTAAGAAAATCAAACCAGGTAAGCAAAGTAAGAATAACACGATCCACTTCTAGAAGTTGACACCCTGTTGTAACGCCTATGTTTAAGCATGCAGAGAACTAACTACTTGAACGCTCCAGCAAATGATGAATAGTGGTTAAACACAAATATGAATGATCTTACTTTGAGCATCATTGCACTTATTTACTAAAACAGGTATGAATTTGTAACAATTGGGGGAAAAAAAAGGAATTTGAGTGATTTCCTTGAAGAACAATTTTTCAGAGGCAAAGAAAAAATACCACAATGCTTCATCAGACCATTCTGGAAAATGCTACTAACAAATCACTAATCTTAGAAAAATTTAATTATAGTTGCAGCTTTAACATTCCTCAAATAGACATATAATTATCATTTAAATATCAAACAACATCTATTTCCTTATTCGGCAATTAAAATTTTGTCTACCTCAAGAGTCTGAGAATATGCATAATTTTTAGGTTATGGTAAATTGTGGTAACAGCAGTTACAGACTCTATGTATCCTGAAGCTTGCTGGCAGTAAACATGAATGCTAGCACTGGCAGCCAAGTGGGAAAGCTGCTTTCCTAGGATCATTTTTTAAAACGGGTAGTACCTGATCAGAGTCATCTAATAGTTATAGCGAAATACCATTAAATGATACTCCAGAAAAACTGTCATAATTAACAATGCTATCATTCACAACTCACATAGTTGTTGAATTAAATATGGGTAGAGTGCTTGAAATAGCAGGTGTCTCACAGAAAACAATTATTTCCTAAAAACAGAAAAATTAAGAAAGAGACAAGAAAAAATGCTATCTGGCACTGGCCAGATAACTCAAATTTTAATAAATTTCTATGTAGATGTTATTTTAAAAAACCTACTTGAAATAACTGAACACTTCAGAGACATGCAAGGAAAATTGCATATTCTTTGTTACTCTAGACTATTTCTATTGCTGCATAAAATTAAAATTCACAGAAAGGTGCAAATTAAATTTCAGTGGAAAACAGGAACCCTTCATAGGATTATATTTTATATGGAAATATCTATATGAAAAGAATCTTAATGTCTTCTAAAAGATACTATCCATCAAGTCCTATGTTATTTACACAGACAGTTACATGAAAATACCCTCATATTTTATTGCTAAGAAAAAGTTTCTTGGGCCCGGCGGTGTAGCGTAGCGGCTAAAGTCCTCGTCTTGAACGTGCCAGGGATCCCATATGGGCGCCAGTTCTAATCCCGGCAGCTCCACTTCCCATCCAGCTCCCTGCTTGTGATCTGGGAAAGCAGTCCAGGACAGCCCAAAGCTTTGGGACTGCTCCTGCCTTCGGACTGGCTAAGCTCTGGCCGTTGCAGCCATTTGGGAAGGGAATCAGCGGATGAAAGATTTTTTTCTTTCCTTTGTATATCTGACTTTCCAATAAAAATAAAATCTTAAAAAAAAGTTTCCTTTACTAGACCATGAAAACTACACTGCTCACACTTTTCTTTTAGGTCCTTTTTTTGGTGCTATGGGCTCAGAAGCAACCTTTATTTAGGTAGGCTTCTAGTACATCCTCCAGCATTTTATGTGTATAAAGTACAGAATTCAACTATTTATACATTTCATCAAATTGCTCATAATCAGTCACAAGACAGCTCCCATCAATGCAGAACCTAATGTCACAATTCTGTATAGATGCCTTTGCCATAGCAAATCATCAAGTGTTTAAATTGCAACAAATGTCTCAAATCACCAAACTTAAAATCATCAACCTAGAAGTTTGAGAGTGATGGAAAAAAAAACAAGGTTTCATTTTCATTTTGTTGAAGCAGTATTTACAAATATGTCTTCCTTACAGAAAACACTAATAAAATTGGCTTAAATTTACTTACTGTGCCTTTTCACAATTAGTACAGTATTTTAATTAAAATTTTAAAACTTACATACCTTATGTAAACAAGTGTCCACTACCCAATTGCACACATTTTCCAGGTCATCAGATACCTCAAGCCTAGATTTAACAAATTCACAGAGTTCCTCATTACTCATAACATCCCAGATCCCATCACAAGCCAAGATGATAAATTCATCCTCTTCTGCTCTTAACATTTCATAAACCTCAGGCTCTGGAGAAACAAGCTGTTCTGTTGGGCCCTTGCCGTCAACACACTTGTAATCATAGTCCCCCAGAGCACGAGACACTGCTAATGAACCATTAACACGCTGTATCATTACACTGCCTCCTGCATTTTGAATCCGCTCCTTTTCCCTTGGATTACATGGTTTGTGATCCTGGGTAGAAAAGCAGACTTGTCCATTCCTATAGAGAACAGCACGTGAATCGCCACAGTTGATAAAGTAAATATGCTTAGGTGAAATCATAACTCCCACTGCAGTAGAACCGCTCCTGTCCATCCCGTTTCTGAGGTCTGAAAAGTTACGCATATATTCATCAATTTTCAAAAAGCCAGTTCGGATACCATTCTTGACATTTTCCACTGAAGGCTCAAGAGCAGATCCTGATTTTCCAGCTGCCCTAAAGTCTTCGTTGGTAGTTATGTGTTCTAACAAATGTGTGGAGCAGTAGTTTGCCACTCGGGATCCAGCATGACCATCATACACTGCAAAAAATGACCAGTCTTCTAAGCCGTGAGGAATCCCCACAACAGCTGTGTGTGCGTCTTCCATCTCCACTCTCCATCCTTGCATGCTGCTCAGGCCGTAGCGTAAACCATTTCCAGCACCGTGAGCATTATGTTTTTCAGTTTTGGGTTTATCCAAAAATGCACCCATGTTTAATATTGAATCTGAAAGAAAAAGGATTAGAAATATTAAACGTCTGGCAAATTTATTTACCACATTCTATCTGTTCTCTAGTAATTTCTATTTAAAGTATGTCTTTCAAGAACAAAAATCCACTTCCTTCTTTCCTCTGTAACATTTCCTAGCACACTAGAATCTCTGATCAAATTAGCTAGCCAGCCAGCCAATAAATAAATAATAACTAGGATCTCTGGGAGTGGGACCCAGATATCACTATCTTTAAAAACTTTCCCTGGTGATTGGCTTGTGCAGCCAAATTGAGAATCACTGTTGTGTAGGAAAAAGGAAAAAACTCATTAAAATTTTCAATTTGGCAGTCTAATGTTCAATATATAAACTTATCAGTATGAAAATGGATAATAGCATTCAGGAATGATGAATAATTTTGTTCAATAGACTGAGGTCGAAAGCTGCTAACATTTTAGACTTTCAAAACTTAAGTATTGAATTTTCCTTAAGTGATCTTAAATTCCATAATTCAACTAAACCATAAATTTCCATTATATAAACTATCAAAATTTTAGTGTACATGAAATAGAAAACTATATACTCAGTACTTATGTTCTGTTACAATAAATGAAATTTTAACATGGTGTTACAAAAACCACTAGGTAATTGAGGTACAGCATTGTTAAACTGCTGCCTAGTAGTACAGTATTTCAGATGGACCGGGATGCAGTTGGACGTGACCTAGCTCCCCGCTAACATGCCTGGGAAAGCAGCATACAGTCGAAATTCTTGGGCCTTTTCACCCATGTAAGAGTCTCTACCCTGGCCCAATGCTAGATGTCATGGCCACTGGGGGAGTAAATCTGCAGATGAAGATCTCTGTGTCTCCTCCTCTCTTTGTAATATTGCCTTTCAAATCAATAAATGTTGAAAAGGAGATAATTACTTCATGTTGTTGAGTTTTGTAACTCAAGAAATAGCTATCCAATGTTGCAACAAAGACTTAAAATCTCCATGTGAAATACATAACATTCCTCCCCTAATCCCATCAATCTTCATTATTATTATAAAATAAAGTGCTCTCAGCTTGAAGTAACAGGCCAGAATAGTACTTATCAAAAGCAAGCATTTGATTTTCTTGGTGTATTTCCTACACTGTGCATTTATTTAGAACAATCAGAGAAGAATTAGTAGATATAAAGAGATTCCATCTGCTGGTGCATCTTCTAAATGTTTGCAATGACCTAGACTTGGCAAGATCAAAGCTAGAAGTCAAGAGCTTCATCACTGTATCCCATTTAGGCAGGGCTCAGAAAATGGAGCCATCTTCTGCTGCCTTCCCAGACACATTAGCAGGGAGCTGGATCAGAAGGGACCCAAACTGGTACCTATTTGTGATGCTGACACTGTAGGTAGCTATGCCACAATGTTGGCCCTTGAGCAAATATCTTAGATATTTCTGTTTACATATTTCACAGGGTTGCTGGCTATAAGTAATATCTAGTTTTCAAAACATTACTTGAAACTGTGAACATATTTGCTATTATCATATGCCTTCTATACAGATTGAGATCCTATCCCTTATTTCCAGAATTTTTCAGGTCACGGATGGAAATTGTGAAAAAGCATGCAAGAATCATTTTTTTGACAGACAATAGTCCAGGCTATTGACTTCAATCCAGGTATAGGTTTCTTTGTACAATGTTTTTATTATGACCAATTAGCTCTTTACAAAGAAAGGATTTTGAAAGGATACGGCTAAAAATACAGGAAAGTTATTTTTCATTCAATCAGTATAGCAGCATATTCCATACTGAGCAATGCAATAAATACGCCTATTTCTGAACACATGGGGCTAGACCCTGATATGATTTGAAATCCTAGTGCTAGAGACATTAACTTAAATTTTTAGTCGTTATTTCACTTGAGGAAAAGCCACAACATCTAGGACCCCATGCAATGGCTCAACAGGCTAATCCTCATTCTCTAAGTGCCAGAATCCCATATGGGTGTCACTTTATGTCTTGGCTGCTCTACTTCCCACCTGGCTGCTCTCTGTTTGTACCCTGGGAAGACAGGAGTGGATGGGTCAAAACCTTGGGACCCTACACCACATGGGAGATCCAGAGAAAGCTTCTGGCTCTGGATCAGCTCAGCTCCAGCTGTTGCAACCATCTGGAATGAGTGGGTCAGTAGATGGAAGATCATTCTCTGTCTCTCCTATCTATAGATCTGCATTTCCAATAAAAATAAATCTTTTTAAAGGGCAGTGTCTAAATAAACAAAACTTATCTGCTAACTTTATTAAACCACTTTTCAATTCTATTTATCAATTACAGAAAAAACTGTTGTGGTTTCCATGCTTGCCGATGCACTTGAAAATCAGGTACAATGTTCTACATTTTAACAAATAGTTGTTTAAGTTCCACACACAAACTCCTCATTTATAAATTTTTAGTATTTATTTATTTATTTTTATTGGAAAGTCAGATTTAAAAAAAATGTATGTGCCAGGATCCTATTTGGCCACTGGTTCCTATCCTGTCTGCTCCTCTTCCCAGCCACATGGAAAACCCAGATGAAGCTCCTGGTTTTTGGTTTAGAATGGCTCACCTGTAGTAGTTGCAACCACTTGGAGAGTGAACTAGCAGATGGAAGATCTTTCTGTCTCTCCTTTTCTCTGTAACTCTGCTTTTCCAATGAAAATACACAATTTCCCCCCTTTTAACAGAGGAATAATGGAAAGAGGGAAAAGGCAGGGGACTTCAACAGAAAATTGCATGGACCCTTAAAGTCAAAGGGAATTGCACAGCTTGGAAAATCAGGGAACAAGAAGCCACTCAGATTGGCTTGCAAAACACAGCGAACAGGATCTGGGGTACCTGCTACATGAAAGCAATCCAGGAGCAAGAAACTACAAAGAAAGCTCTCTGCAACCCAGAAAATTACCACTTTGCTAATAATACATCCTGGGAGGCAGCAGATAATGGAGCAAATGCTGTGCCACTGCAGACTTCCTGGTTCCTGGCTTTGGTTTGGCCCAACCTGGTTTTTATAGGTATGAGAAGTCAACCAGTAAATGGAAGCTGGAGAGATTGATCTATCTCTGCTTTTTTAGTTGATAAAAATAAATAAACATGGGCCCAGCGCAGTGGTTAAAGTCCTCACCTTGAACACACTGGGATCCCATATGGGTGCCGGTTCTAATCCCGGCAGCCCCGCTTCCCATCCAGCTCCTTGCCTATGGCCCAGGAAAGCAGTTGAGGACAGCCCAAAGCCTTGGGACCCTGCACCCGTGTGGGAGACCCAGAAGAGGCTCCTGGCTTTGGACTGGCTCAGCTCCAGCCGTTGCAGCCTCCTGGGGAGTGAATCATCGGATGCAAGATCTTCCTCTCTGTCTCTCCTCTCTGTATATCTGCCTTTCCAATAAAAATAAATCTTTAAAAAAAATGAACATTTTAAAAAAGAAAAACTGACATTAGAAGTCACTCAATTATCCTGCAGCAAATACTACTGCCAGTAAATCCCACAGAAAGGCACGGAGCTAATCAATATCCCTTTAAAAAATATCAGCAGGGACCCAGCACGATAGCCTATTGGCTAAATCCTTGCCTTACAACTGCTGGGATCCCAGATGGGCACGGGTTTGTGTCCTGGCTGCTCTACTTCCCATCCCATTCCTTTCCTGTGGTCTGGGAGAGCAGTAGAGGATGGCCCCAAAGTCCTGGGATGCTGGCTCCTGCATAGGAGACCCCGAACAAGCTTCTGGCTTTGGATCAGCACAGCTCTGGCTGTTATGGCCATTGGGCAGTAAACCAGCATATGGAAGGTGTTCTTTTCTGTCACACCTTCTCTCTGTAAATCTGCCTTTCCAATAAAAAAATAAATAAATCTTTAAAATACACACACAGAAGCAGTTCACGGTCAATTAGACTCAAATTTTACTAAGACTCAAAGATCAAACCAAGCAGGAAAGAACATATTGGAACAGAAAAAGAGCTACTGGGGTTGGGGGGAGGAGGATGGAATGTACAGAAAGTGAGAAAGGAAACAAACACCTGTCAGATAAGAAAATATTTTTAATTCACAAAGCGACAAGATATTAAAAAAGGATAGCAGAACAGAAGAGCTGCTTAAAGCGAAAATATAACCATAAAAGAGTTGAGAAAGCAAAAACAAAAGTTAAAAACACGAGACAGAGATAATCAGTCTAAGTGGCTTATGAGCCAAATTACAGGAATAAAACATGGAAGAAATTTACTTTTCAAATAATCTAAGAAACTTTCTAAACTGAAGAGTATGAATTTCAAGATTAAAAGGATCCAGCCCAGGCTAAATACAGTGGCTGAAAACAGACATACAAGGTACATTATGAAAATTTCACAACAGGTGTCATGCATCCCACTTGAACGCGGGTTCAAATCCTAGCAGCTGCTCCACTATCAATCTAGTCCCTTAAGCCACAGTCTACAACACCACCATTCCATGCAGGTGCCAATCTGAGTCCCAACTCAGAAGCGAGAAAGCTGGATAAAGGATCGACTCTTGGGCCAGGACACTGCAGCCATTTAGGTTAAGTGCTCTCTCACTCATTCTTCTTTCCTCCTTTTCTTTTTTTCTCTCTCCCTCCGTTCTCCTCCCAACTTTGGCTTTCAAATAAATAAACACATGAAGTCTACACCCAACTTAGAATGAGAACTGGGTCACAACTGTGTCTGTAAGTAAGGAGCAAGCTAAAGTACATTATGTTTGTGAAGCAATTCATATCAGTAACAGAATAACTGCTTGTTAGAAACAATTTAGAATAAGAAAATATTTAGTGCTACTTTACTGAATCAAAATTTACCTAATTAAATTGAAATTCTGTAAGAGATAAAGTGAGCAAAATTAACAGATACTTTCTTAGACAATATAAATACTATATTATTAAACATATGGCAAAAATCCAACATGCATAAGAACTATTTGCAAGACACCGCAAGGTAAGCATACTCTCAAAGAGGCTTAACATAAACACAGTATTAAGGTGGACCTG